GTTGACTGTGAGAGTGGCGAGGGGATGTGGCAGGGGAAAGCAATAGGGAATAAGGTGAGACAACTCTAACTGATCAACAATAAAAAATAAAAAAAATACATGGTATGTATAAGGGAACTTTGATAACAACTATAGAATGTTTCTCTTCATAAATCCTGACAACTATAAAAAGTAAAAAGGGAACAAATTGATATTTGTGAATACAATGAAAGAAATGCTTAGAGGGAAATTGTAGCAGTGCATGTTTACAAAAGGAAATAAAAAATGCTCAAAAGTGTTTGGTAAGTGTCCACCCTTAAGAAACTTGTAAATGAAGAAAAAGTAAAATTCCAAGCAAGTAAGAGGAAAAAATAAAAAAAATAAGAACAGAAATCAATGAGATTGAATATAAAAAATAATAATAGAGAAAAATAATTAAGTTGTCAAGTTTTGGCTTAATTTTGGTTGTTTCAACATAAGCTGAAGTGAGGGGTTTGGCAGACTTATGAGCTAAAGGATCTTTTCTTCTGCTGGAATGTAGTCTATTTATTTTTTTTGGTGCCTTTTGATAGAGGGGATTGATTTTGTAAAAATTTTTATTTGTCTATAAAGGAAACTTAATTTTGATTGCTTACATCAAACTTTTCCTTCACCACCAATGGAAGCCTTTTTGTTCCAAATCACATCTTTCATCACAAAAGTTGTGCCCCTTCTCAATTTCCCTATAGCCAATATGATCAACCTGAACTCCACTTGCAATATTTTCCCTTTCAGAGTAGTACTTTTCTCTTCCCAAGAAATTTTCACCAAACCCTGCTTCTACATTGCCACTGCAGCTGGCTGTGGAAGGAAATGAGATGTTCCTATATTCATTCACATAGCATTTGGAGGTGTCATGTTCTTTATGACTCATTTTGAACAAGGATTATGGCTGGTTTTCTTTGTTCTCTTTGCTGATCTATATTATTGTTGGATGATATGTGGAAATTATCAGATATAAGCAGCAGACTTTATTTTTAGAAAATGGAATATCAACAACAGGTATAAATTTATTTGAAATAAAATAAAATTGTCTTTAAGTTGCATCTAATTTGATACTTTTCATCTCATTTATAAAAAATATAAATGTGTGAAAAAACCTAGTTGATAGAATTATTTAATAATAAATCACAATAAATCCTACATATATAATGTGTACAACACAATATGTTTTTACATGTATATTCAGGCAGACTCTCTTTGCATAATATGGTATAAATGGAAGTAGTACAAATTCTAACAAAATCCTTGCTTAGCACACTTCTGCAATACAAGTTACGATTAAACCATAGAGTGCAAGGGCTCAGTTCTGAGATGCATGTTTCTTTAATTCCTTACCATGTGAAATGAAGACTGCCTAAACTCATGAGATCTCCACAATCAAGAAAAGGGACATTTCAACCAACCTCTTTATAATCAGTCAATCCCTCTCTTTACCCTTCCTTAGTCAGCCCATTATCTGCTTTATCTTAAATAGTTTAGTTTGCATTTTCAAGAATATGAAATAAATGGTCCTAAAAGGAAATATTTTTATTGATATTATTTTTTCCTCTTGCTTGCTTACAGTACGAACACTTTTGAGTCTGTCTTCTTATACATGGAATAATTAGAGATTTAACCAAGTTGTTGCATGCATCATAGTTCAATTAGATAAATTAGCATGTGTAAATTTGGACTCTTTTTCCAAAGTAGTATGTTTTTGGTCTTCTGAAATATCATATGAATTTTAGAATCAGCTTGACAATTTCTATTCAAAAGCCTGCTGTAATTTAAATAGAAATCACATGGAATCTATAAATAATGTTGAAGACAATTGGCATCTGATAATTATAATTATTAGAGAAGATTCAAGATAGCAAAGGAGTAAGTGGAGGTTACACTAACCTCCTCCCAGGAGCAATCTGGAATTACAACTAAACTGTAGAGAAAATCATCTGGAATAACCAACTAAACAAGAGCTGGAGAAAAATCTTATAAACATGGACACACAGAAGAAACTACTTCAGCACAACATGGCTGGTACGGAATGCAGAGGAGATGCAAAATAGATGGCTGGAGTCCCACAGGTGGCAGCTGAAGTTCTGGAGGGAAATTTCATTGGTCAGGTGGTTCAGACTGAGAAGTGTGGGATATAAACCCCAAGCTGGGCTTCCCAGCCTACAGCACCAGAGCCAGAGAGGAACCCAGATAACATCCAAATGCAAAAAGTAGTACGGTTTCTGTCTGCCAGAGAGAGACAGCTAGAGACACAGATAGTCTCTTAAAGGTCCACTGCACACAATGTCATTTGTAGCCATTTACACTGGGCCCCAGCAAAAGGTGGGCAGAATGGACTAGAGATACTTGAAGAGAGTCAAGGGATGATGGCTTTGTGGAGAGAATTCAGGGAGCAGCCATCAAGATCTCTGTGCTAAGTCATTCTACATAATGCAGAAGCCATCTTACTCAGGCAAAATAATCCCCTCCCCCATCTGCCTGAGGAAAAACAATAAACTTGCTCACATAGTTATTCTGTCCCACCCTGAGGTGCTTAAACTTGACTGCTGATTACAGATTGATTAGATTAACAATTAAAAGAGATATCCACAGACTATGGATCACTTGTAGTTTCATGAAGGCTGCCTAGGGCCAGAATGGGAAACCACCTGACATCATCAGGGGAGTATCCAGAAAGAGAAGACAGTTGTAATCATCAGATTTTACTGAGATGAATTTCACTGTGGTCTTCATGATTTGCATTATTTTCTCTCCTGCATTGTTTTTTAACATTCATTTCTGTGTCTATTAGGTCACTAGTTTTTGTATTATAGTTCATTTCAAATCTCATATTTTGCTACTCCCTTTTCTTGCTCCATTTTCCTTCTTTCTTCTTCTTACTTTTGTTTTAAATTTTATTTTCTGTCTTGCTACAACTTATTTCCATGCCATACTCTTACTATTTCTACCCCCTCCAGGCTCTCAAAACCATTTTTCTTGTCAGTCATCTCACATTATTTTTCCCATTCTAAAAATCTCTTTATTCTCTCACCACCTTTATCAATCTGTGATTATTGGTGTGGGTGTGGTGGCTGTTGTTGCATTTCTTCATTTTTTTTCTAGATCTTCACTATTTTTGTATTTTAAATCTCAAACTTTACCATTCTCCTCTACTACTTCACTTTGCCTTACTCCTGCCATTTTTTATTGTTTTAAACTTTAATTTTTGCCTGTCTTAACCTGGTTTAATTACTTACTCTTAGTGTTACTTCTCATTCTGTCCTCTCAAAATCACTTCTCTTTCCTCTATATAACTCTCAAACTGTTCTTTCTTTTATTTTCCCTCTTATTCCCATTCCACCTATATTAATCTTTGCTCATTTGTTGTTGATAGTGCCGTGGTAGGTTTTTTCTACAATGTGGTTCCTATTTTTTCTCTTTCTTTCACTATATATATATAAAATTTCTGTTTAAACCTAAGCACTCTGTGCTTCACTTCTCTTATTCCATTCCAGTTTCTTCTCTTCCTTCTTGGATTATGATGTATGTTTTGCTTTCTTTATCTCTTCACCAGGTGTCTATTACTTACCTTTATTATTGCTTCATTCTCTACCCTCTCAAAGTCATGTTTCTATGATTTAGTCATCTCACACTTGTTTGTCGCTTGTTACAATAGTATTAGAATTTTTATACCTTTATTAATATTGGCTCATTTGCTGTTGATAGTGTGATTATTGGTGGGGGTTATTTTTGCTGGTGTGGTTTTGTTTCTTGGGCTGTTTAGTTTCATTCTAGCAATGTCTGTACAGCAAGACATAAAACATGGTGAATGGAGTGGGTCTCAGTATGTCAACCTGAGAGAAGGACCTAGCAAAGAATAACACATCAACAACCAAAACCTAATTATTACCAGAGATCCCACAAAAATAGCATAAAGGACATCACAAGAGCATCAAGAGTAGGAGAAAAAAAGGAGGTGGCATCACCAAATCCCACAGGTCTCCTAATACCAAAGTTCACCCCATGAAGACAGAGAATCAAAGCAGAGCTGTCTAATATGCAGTAACAAATAAGAAGAGTCACTTAAAATGGGGAGATAAAGAAACAACACCCAATCAAAAGGAAAGAAGGAATACCAAGAAGAGTGTTAAATGAAATAAAGGCAGACACAGTATCAGACATGGAGTTCAAAATAATGGCTATAAGGATACTCAAGGAGCTCAGTGAAAACTACAAAGAACACCAGGGAAGCTACAAGGAACTTACTGTAAACTAAACCAGCATGAAAAAAGACATAGAAACTACCAATAAGAAAATAAAGAGTATAGAATAGTTGAAATGAAGAGCACAGTAGATAGAATGAAAAGCAGGCTAAGTGAAACTGAGGTTTAAATCAGTAAGCTGGGCAAGGTAGAAAAACACTCTAAAATAGAGTAACAAAATGCAAAACAATAGGAAGAAAGAAGATGGTTTAAGAGAGCTGCAGGACAACATGAAAAATTATAATATCCATATCAGAGTTATATGAGAAGGAGAAGAGGACCAAAAGATAGAAAATCTGTTTGAAAAAGTAGTGACAGAATGCTTCCATAACTTCATGAGAGAAATAGTCATATAAATCCAGGAAGCACAAAAGGTCCCAATCAAAATAAACACAAAGAGATCCACTGAAAGCCACATGATAATTAAAATGGCAAAATTTAAAGACAAAGAGAGAATCTTAAAGGCAGCAAAGGAAAAGCAGCTAGTAACACACAAAAGAGGTCTGATAAGGCTATCAGCTGATTACTCAACATAAATGCTACAAACCAGAAAGAAATGGCAAGAAATATTTCAAGTAATTAAAAACAAAAGCTTGGAACCAAGATTACTCTATCCAGCAAGTCTCTCATATAAGTGAAAGCAAAATAAGGAGTCTCAAGACAAAAAAAAAGGTGAAAAAAATATATCACCAAACTAGCACTTCTAAAGATACTAAAAGGACTGCTTTAAGAAGATGAATAAAGATACTTACCTGGCAGGGGAGATACCATGATCATGAAAGTGGTTTTCCCAGGGTAAGGCTCACCTATTGCACTCCAGGTGTGCTGACCCTTGCGATTTCTGCAAATATGGGAAACTAAACTGCAAAATTTGTGGTAGTGAGGGACTATGTTTGTGCTGTCCTCTGATAACTTGTGTTGCAAGAGTAGTTGTCTTTCCTAACTGATGTGGCTCAGTAGATTGAGTGCCAGCCTTCAAACCAAAGGGTCTCCAGTTCAATTCTCAGTCAGGGGACATGCCTGGGTTGCAGGATAACTCCCCATAGAAGGCACATGAGAGGCAACCACATATTGATGTTTTTCTTCCTCTCTTTCTTCCCTCCCTTTCTAAAACTAAATAAAAAAAGAAGAAGATGAAGAAAGAGATAGAGTGAAAGAGGGAGACCAAGAGTAAGAGTGTGAGAAAGAGAGAGAAAGGAACAGAGGTATAAAGGGAAAAATGTCAATGAATAAGTACCTATCAATAATAACCTTAAATTTAAATGGATTAAATGTTCCAATAAAAAGACATGGATTAGACAAATGGATGAGAAAACATGACTGCATGTAAGCTGTCTATAAGAGACCCAAAGGATCTTTCAAAAGGTTGAAAGTGAAGGGCTGAAAAAAAAATCCAATAAAACAGACAGGAAAAAAAGCTGGAGTAGAAATACCTATATCAGACAAAATGGATTTTAAAACAAAGGCCACAAAAAGAGGAAAAAGAGTACACCATGTAATACTCAAGGGAAAAATCCATCAAGCGGTTATAACCTTTATAAACATATATGCACATAACACAGGAGCACCAAAACATATAAGGGAAATCTTGGAGGACTTTTAGAAAGATGTAAACAGCAACATACTCACAGTAGGGGATTTTACACTCCTATTGTGTCAAAATGGATAGATTTTTCCAAGCAAAAAATCAACAAGAATATTGTGGCATTGAACAACAGTCTTCAAATAGACTCGATTAGCAAAATAGACATTTTTTTCAAAAGCACATATAACATTTTCATAGATGTACCACTTGGTAGGACATAAAACAAGCCTTGACAAATTAAAGAAAACTAAAAAAATATAAAGCATCTTCTTAAATCACAGTGGCTTGACACTAGAAATCAACCACAAGAAAAATTCAAAAATATTCAAATAAATGGAGAATGAATAATATGCTATTAAATAATGAATGAGTTAACAACGTGATCAAGGAGGAAATCAAAAAGATTCTGAGAACAAATGAAAATGAACACACAAGAGCCCAAAACCTATGGGGCACTGCAAATGTAATCCTAAGAGTGAAGTTCATAGCAATACAGGCCTACCTAAAAAAGATAGAAAGCTCTGGCTGGTGTGGCTCAGTGGAGTGAGTGATGGCCTGGGAGCCAAAGGGTTGCAGGTTTGGTTCCCAGTCAGTACACATACCTGGGTTGTGGGCCAGGACCCCAATAGAGGGCACGTGAGAGGCAAACACGCATTGATGTTTTTGTCTTCTCTTTTTCTTTCCCTTCTTCTCTCTCTAACAGTAAATAAATAATGTCTTTAAAAAACAAGATAGAAAAATCTTAAGAAACAACCTAACCCTAGATCTACAAGAACTAGAAGATCAACAACAAACAAAGCCCAGAGCAAGTAGAAGTAAGGATATAAACAGGATCAGAGCATAATTAAATAACATAGAGACTAAAAGAAAAAAATCAAAGGATCAATAAACCCAGGAGTTGGTTTTTCAAAATGTAAAAAAATTGACAAGCCTTTAACCAGACTGATCAACAAAAAGTGAGACTGGACCCACATAAATAAAATAAAAATGTAGGAGGAGACATTACAACCGATAGCACAAAAATGCAAAGGATTGTAAGAGATTACTATAAAAAAACTATATAATCCTAAGAGTGAAGTTAGTAGTTCGAAGTTCACTGCATGAAATTTGACAACCAGGACAAAATTGACAAAGTTCTAGAAACATATAATCTTCTAAAACTGAATCAAGAAGAAACAGAAAGCGAAATTGAAGCAGTTATCAAAAAACTCCTGGAACACTAGAGCCCTGGACTGGATAGCTTCACAAGATAATTTTATGATATATTTAGGGAAGAGCTATATCCTAAAGTTCTCAAACTTTTCCAAAAAAGTCAAAGGTAACATTCCCAAACTCCATGAGGGTAATTCCAAAACCAGGTAAAGACATAAGAAAGAAAGAAAACTACAGGCCAGTATAACTGATGAACATAGGTGCTAAAATCCTCAACAAAATATTGACAAATCACATCCAGCAATACATTAAAAAGATCATATACCATGATCAAGTGGGATTTGTTCCAGGGATACAAAGATGGTATATTTTCAAATCAATAAAAGTAATATCATACGAAGGAAATAAAATACAAAAATCACACGGTCATATCCATAGATGAGGAAAAAGTATTTGATAAAGTATAGCACCCATTTATAATTAAAACACACAGCAAAGGGGAAATAGAGGGAGCATACTTTAACATTGCTAGACACTTCTACTAGTTATAATAGGGATTTTTTGTAGCTTCTTGGAATTTTTAAATAGACAACTATGTCATCTGTCAATAAAAACACAATTCTTGTTTTCCAATATATGATTTCATTTTATTTTTCTATTTTATAGAACTGGTAAACCTCTAATAAATGTTTAATAAAAGAGGTTAGAACAGATATCTTTTTCTTATTTCTGATCTTAAAGGAAAAACATGCAATTTTTTACAAAAAATTATGAAATATAATGTTGGCTATAGTTTTCTCAAAAATGCCTTTCACCAGTTTGAAAAACTTGTTTATATTACTAATCTGCTGAGAGTTTCACCCATAAATTAAGATTGAATTTTGTCAAATGCTTCAGATGATCATTTGTATTTTCTTTATTAGTTTTGCTAGGGTGGCCTTTGACAGAAACTGTGAAAGAATTCACAAAGGGAGGAAAATGCAGAGTGTAGTTTTATTCATTCTCCAAAGGAGGAAAGGGGCAAAAGGTGGAGAGATAGACCAGCAGCAAAATGTAGTGGCTTTGAATTTTTATTGGATTATAAAAGCATTGGGGGGTTGCTATTATGTGGGTGCTGGGATGTTAGGGGTATTGCAACACAGAAGGTTTTTGTTGATTTTGTGTATGCTTCCGTTTGCTTCAATGCTATCTTTTGCCTGCAGCTGTGGGGGGCAGTTAGTCACATTCTGTTCTTATTTTTCCAGTAGTTTTTCAGTCTTGCAGGTATAAGTCCAGAAGAGTAAAATAGCATTCATGTTATAACAAGGTTATAGGCATGCTTGGCAAATGGTGCCATGATAGCAAAACGTGCCAGCTTTGTCCTTTCATGTCTGTCATAGGATAATCTTTATTTTTAAGTATTAAATCAGGTTTGCATTCTTGAGATAAATCCCAATTAGCTACGAAGTTATCAGTGGAAGAGCCACTACTCTTAATTTGCACCTTCTCAGCAAGCCAAGGTGCCCAACTGCTTGGTAGACTGTGCCAACCAAGGTGCATGGAGGAGGGAGTGCCTCTTGATGGGTGAGGTGAGGAGTCCAGAGGCTCAGCTGATCATGGCATTTCAGCTGCCTGAATACATCAGCCAGCAGTGGTGAGAACCCTGGCAGACACCCTGAGGAGCAGGGCACCACCTTCCCGCAGTGGGAGCAGTCACTGTGCCAGGATTTAGTAGTGTTTGCCTAGAGTTGGCCTAGCCACTGCAGCCACATCAATGAGGCTTGAAGCTCTAAAGGCAGGAAAGCTTGGACAGCCTTGGGACATTGGTTGTGGTATAGTCAGGGAGTCTCCCATACTGCAGGAATGGTGGAAAGATGAATGGATGGGGCCAGAACACACCTGAAAGCTAGAAAGATAATTGGATAAGGGTAAAAGTTCGTGTCCTCACCCTTCCAGTAATAAATTGGGGTGAGATGGGGAAGGCAGGAACATGCACTGTAGAAATCAGAACAGTGGCTTGTCAGTCTAGCCTAGGGAAAGAAGGGTTTTGTTGAGAGGCAGACCCACCAAAGTTCACGAGATTTAGGAAGTTAATTGCTCTTTCTGAGAAAGTACCTGGCTTGTCCCATAACCAAAAACTGGATGTAGGCTCACAGGAACAAAGAAATACTCTGTCTTTTTTTCATCCCTCACTGCTCAGGACCCACACCAGTGCACTGGCCTGTCCTCTCCATGGGCCACATGACCTTAAGCAGTCACATGGCCTGTAGCCTCCAGGGTGGAGTCTCCCTCTTGATGACCTGGTGAAGCATTTGTTGATATACCCCTGCACTCCCTTCCGGGAGCACATGATCTCGAGGTCCTAGCAGCTGCATGCCGGTGGGTACTCCAGCCTATGTGTACTCAAGCTCCACATCCAGTTTCCAAGATGGAGTCTGAAGCCAGACAGCAGCCAGGAACAAGATAAACTACAGCTACAGAGAGACTGCTTAGCAGCTGCCTTGGGCTCCAAAGAACTATACTTTTTTTTTAAGATTTTATTTATTTATTTTTAGACAGAAGGGAAGGGAGGGAGAAAGAGAGGGAGAGAAACATAAATGTGTGGTTGCCTGTCACATGCTTCCTACTGGGGACCTGGTCCGTAACCCAGGCATGTGCCCTGACTGAGAATCAAACTGGTGACCCTTTGGTTCGAAGGCTGGCACTCAATCCACTGAACTACTCCAGTCAGGCCAGGAATGTACTTTAAAATGGAGCAAGGACTCTGGACACTGCCTTTTGTTGTGGTCTTGCTGATGATGGCTGAGTTTTGTCTGGGTTTTTTCAGAGGAAATGAAATTTGACACAGGAAGTCCCCTGTTCTCCAAGATGGCACAGCTTCTGAATAAAACTTTTCCTTTTGCATCAGCACCTGCCTCACGAGTTAGGCTTTTGTGGTGACAGACAGCCAAACCCCTGTTTTGCTTTTTTTTGTTTGTTTGTTTTGTTCAGTAACAACAATGTATTATCTTTTTATAGATCATTAATTTGATTTACTAAAACTTATGTTATAGACTTTTGTTTCTGTGCCCATGAGGGATGTTATTCTGTGGTTTTCTCTTCTTGTTACATCTATGTCTGGTTTGTGTATCAAGGCAATGTTAGTCTTATATAATGAGCTGGGAAGTATTTCCTGCTATCATCTTTTTTTTA